AAAAAAATTCTGACAAATAGCTGAGATTTGAAATAAAGTTTTGCAGCTGAGTTTTTGATCATTCTTAATACTCCTTGAAGAAATGGATCCATGTGGTAATAATGCTGAAATTCGCTTTTTCATGCTTCTACTACATGTAGTGGCATTAAACACTCGCTGGCAGCAACGAGCAGGAAATGTGTGAGTTTTTTATTTTTATTTCTTCTATTTTAATGAGACCCATCAGCGTTTTTCACACACATGCACCAACTCAAACAGTTTCGGGCTGCTGGGCGGAAGCAAGGTGGATGAAACGCTTGTTCAGGCAAAGGCAGAGGTGTTGTACCTTGTGTAAGCCGCTGTGCAAAGCATACATAGGCTCTTCTTTTCAAAGCTTTTGACCCAAAGGCTTCTTCTTGCCTTTGTCCCCCATGCATTTCATCTGGAAGCGATAGTGGCGTAGGATGGCTTCTCTCCCACCGCCTCTGCCTTCTCCAGCATCCATTAGTTTTTTGCTGCTGTTGGTTTGTTTTTGCACTCGGCAGTTAAGAGCAGATACGGTGTTGGGTTCAGTGTAATTGGAGGATGTGGTATTATCTTTCAAGCTCTTGATGCCAGCGGTATTTTCTTGGCCCACCTCTCTTTTCACCTTCCTCTAAGATACTAAAAAGTATGATTGCTCAGGTTGTGAAATTGACAGATGCATGTCTCTCCAAAACTAGTTGCTGGAAAATGCTGCAAACAATGGAGTGGTAGATTTGTTGTAATTATTCTGTTATAAATACTTTTCTAGCTCCCAGAATTTTGTATGACCCTTATGTAATAACAAGCTATGCCAGTATATGGAACTTAATCTTTGATGTGAAACGAAAACTGATTAGAAGTGCATTGACTTTCATTATCTCCTTTACCTTCCCCTTTTGTTTTTTTTTTACACCAAAGACTGCAACATTCGGGAATAAACTCTGTGATTTCACATAGCACAGAAAGGCAGCTGTGAATGCTTTCCAAACTGGAGCCAGATTTTTGGATTAGCGTAGCCATTCTCCAAAGAGCACAGTTAGCAGGCAGAGAAACAGACAAAGCCATGGTTAAATCATTAGTGAAATAAGCCTGTCCCCCATTACCATCAGCCGAACACAGTCCAAAACCAGCATGGGAAAAGGAGGAGAATTTCTTCACTCGCAGAAACACTGTTTCTTTTTATTGGTGGTAATTGGGAACCGTTATCAAATCTGTTCCCCCCTTCTCATTTTCCCAGAGTTGAGCACTGTAGCAGAAGCAGGCGATTGTTCTTTGAAGAAAGTAGGACAAGTTTTTCCAGCAGCTTCAATTTTGTCTTGGGGCTGTTTCTCTCTTTTGTATCCTCGTATATATTCAACCTATATGTTCCCATGCCCGTATTCCAAGAAGAGCAATTAAAGTCTGGATAGGCTAGTATTGGATGTATATGTGTGAAGAGTGACAGTTTTTGGGCTGTATTGCATTTTTAAACGTACGCCACATCTTTACATTTTCTTACTGCGTATATGTGCATTTTTAAATAGTGAAAATTGTCTAAACAAAGTTGTAATTGTTTGTTTTTTAATCATTAGTTAGTTGTTTGCTAGAGAGAAGCAGCATAAAAGGTGTAATGACTGTACATTATTAAGCCAAAGTATTGTTCAGCTTTAGTACAAAGACAAACAGACAATTAAATCAAGTACCTGCATTGTGCAGATTTTCAAAGCAAGTTATAGTCATTTATACAATTTTTTAAAGTAAGAAAACTTGTAAATCTCTCTCTGCCTTTCTTATGGTTTGTATAGAAAGCTAAGAATTTGAGATAACGGCTGCCAAAAAGAACTTTAAACTTCATACAAAGTATGAAAATCATTAATGCAACAGAAGTTATCACCGGAAGT